CTTCAAAGTTATTTATTGCACAAGTATTAATGACAAGATAAGACTCATCTAGCAATTATTAAAAAAAAAACAAAGTAAAAGTTACCAGCCAATGTTCGTTGAGTAACTTCGCCAGCTTCTGCATCCAAGTTGACAGTCGAAGACAGCTCCATTTTCCAAGACACTCGCAGAAATATATCAACCAGAAAAACGTAACTAATTACGATCGTATATAGGAAACTATTAACGACACTCCCGATTCTCAATACATTTTTAATACTTTCGGTTTTCGGCACTCCCGAGAATCAGACCTCCGATTCTCAATACTCGACATTTTTCGACAGTCCCGACTTTCGACACTCCCGATATCCATTCGCGATTTTTATTCCTCGATATAGCTGTTTATTAATATTTAATATTTATTACTTTATTATAATAATTATAAATTTATAAATATATAAATAAATATTGTTATAATTATAATATTAATTATAATTATTATAACTTTATTAAATCTTTTTCTGCTTTTCTTTCTTATTATTTATTTAAGCAATTAATTGAATAATTCAATAATAATACATATGTGATAATAAAATTATCCTAAGAATATATAATAAATATATTTAATTTTCAAATGATAATCTCAATTCTTAAAAATCCTATCTGCTACAGAATACTTTGCAAAATATACAAAAGTGATAATGCGTTTATTAGATTTTTTGGTAATAATTTCTCCTTTAAAAAGAAGTTTATCATCACTTATTTTTACCGAACTTTCTTTATTTGCGAAATATTTCCTATTTACTGCTTTTATTCATATTTGCGAGTTTTACAAATATTTAATGATTGATAAATCTTGCCATATAATATTTGTTAAAATAAAATATAAGGTATATTAATAAATAAATACGCTCTATATATTGACTACATGATATAAAATAACATAATAAACTATTTCGTAACGTGCTCTGTATCTGTACGAATGCATCTTCGTATTCAAAGTAAATTGATAACAATTATATCCAGGATTCAATATTGATCTTAATCTTTATAAGCTTAAAATTTATAAGCTTATCCATCTTAAAACAACAGGTCTATGAAACGTGAATTTGATAAATAGATAAATCTAAATGAATTATATGTAATATATCTCGTGCAATTTTCACAGATCCGTTATCTCGATTTAAAATGAAAGATAATTTGTCACTTACAGATACGATGCGCAACAGCGGAGTTATAACTGCGTCGTAGCTATGTTGATCTGTAAAATAAAAGAATATCGACATTATTAATAAGCGTTCAAAATAATAATTATTTTAACAAGGAATTTATATTGTTAAGTGTATATATTGAATTCTTTTATTTATTTTTTAATAAATATTTATTAAAGTAATTATGTAACTTCCAAAAAATTTCATTTTAATTATAGGATAGATGTAAAACTTTATAAATTAAAAAATTTATTTTTTGTACAAATATAAGATAAGAATCAAATTAATTTTGATACTTAAAAAATTGTATACAATATAATATCAAAGATATTTAGAAAATAAATGATTAATTCTATGCAAGACAGTATCAAATGTTAAATAAAATAAAATATTACTCACCCCAGAGTTGCTCCGCCGTTGCCCGATGCCTTCCCGAGCCTCCTCCTCCTCTCAGAATTCGTTGAATCCATCCACTGAATATCAGGTTCTCCTTCAAATTTTCACTCGCGAATACACGGTTAAATTACGATCGCATTCGAATTAATTTACCAGTGTGCTACGATCGCGTGTTTTGCACGACACTCTTGAAATAAAAATCAATTAAGATGCGACGAACGTGAATTGTTGCGAGTTGATTTTGCGAATTCAAATATAAAAAATCCGATTGTCGTCTCAAATGAAATCAAACAGGCGTTAAAAATTCGTTAAATTCCTCGTTCTTCCCTCTCATATACACTCGCGCTTTTTCATGCCAATGCTCGCACAGTGTCGGCTCGCGGAAGTAAGGTTAATGGTCACGCAGTACTTTGCACAGCATTACCGACGTTGGTCGCGCGCACACTTTTATGTCAAGACGGAAAAGCAACGCGGAGGAACAACCCTGCGTAGAAATTACCTTTATCGTCCATGTCTTCACACGTACAGTCCACACTCGTGACGTCTCGCGAATTCACGTGGCATGTACGCAGTCGGCGTTGATCGGCCGCGGCGTCGTAAATCCGCAATAATAACGGCGGGGTGACGAGGAGCGTTCGGATACTTCGGATATCGCGCGGCCAACTTCACGTGGTAGCCGCCGCGCTCTCGCGCCGCGCCGCGGCGACGGCGACGCTACACCTGTTACGCCTGGCTTCAATTCAAAAAAATTGCCGTGGCGGATAAACGATACACGCACTTCACAGAGCGGCGACTGTCACGGCAAAAAGGGCATGCGAATACGAGTCGAGAATAAATCGCGCTGCGCGATATCCGGAAATACGGTCGTCGCTTCGCCGCGAAAGATCTCGCCCCAGGCCCCGGGCGAACGAACCTCGTTCGAGCATACCTCACGCAATGCGCGATTTCGGTGATCAATGGCACGTCGCGAGTTCGTGCCGCGCAAGATAACGAATCTGAGAGAACACGGGTCTATTCGGTGTCTACGTGCGTCTGTAATTACGACACCGTACTCACCGAGTAAACGCGTCGCGACGTTCACGCAGCTCGGAGCGATCCGTTACGCGCCTACGTCGTTTCATTGCCGGCCGGACAAAGAGGGAGGGCGGCACTTTCACTCCCGATACCGCGCGACACTACGCGAGTCAACTTCACACCTAATTAAAACGCGACGGACCGTCTTAAAATATAAATTCGACGCGCAGCACTGAAAATACGCGCGATACATTTCGTACGCGTAAAACTCGTCGAACATATGCGATATTGATGGATAGTCGATATATCACTAGTTTCACACTGTTTT